TTGTCCACAGGGAACTGGCAGTAAGCACACTCCTCGTTTTTTCTCTTCTTAAAGCGCTGTAGGTACGAGTTAAAACACCCGTGACCTGTCAGCGCTTGCGTCAAATAATAGGAAACTTCACCATGTTTCCTACTTAGGCAGGTGGCGAGTGTCGGTATAAGGCGATAAATCCATCGACCTTTTACCTCCCCATCCCATCTCTCCTGCCATTTTTCTACGAGCCTGCGCCTCGCTTCAAAGCGGATGCGGTCCTTGCTGGGTCGATCTTCCTCTTCAGAGGAATTCGCCTCTTTAAGAAGGAGGATAATTTCCTCCCTCTCAAGCGCCAAAAGATCTGCTGGCGGGACACTTGCAAGGACCTGCACAGCGCTCGTAGATACTGTCCGATAAGCAGAGGCGATACGTGAAGTAATGCACCTCTGCGCGGACAGCATCTTTTTACAGATGGTTGAACATCTGTCTGTTCTCAGGGAGGGGGCCCACGCTGGTGCTGCGTAAAGCAGCTTAGCGTGGGCGACACTCGCCACCAGTCTCCTTTTCTTCTCACGGGGGCCTCCAACATTTGGCATCACCCGTGCTAAATTAGCCGCACATTCGATCGCCTTGTTTGACGCCGTAGCCATGTGGTGATGGAAGTTTAACTTTCCATCCAGTTCCACACCAAGGTACTTTATCTGTCTCCTCCACTTGACCTCGAATTCGTCTATCACGATTCGTGGGGATTTATAACCATGTCTGTCTGTGACCAGCAATGCTTCGGTCTTTTCCAGGGCCATTTGAAGACCTCTGGTTTCCTGCCAGCATTTTGCTAGCCGCAGACATTCGTTCACCAATGTCCCCAGAGCTTCCGCCGAGTCGGCAGCGCACACGATCAATGCGTCGTCCGCAAAGCCGACGATCACCGCACCTTCGGGCAGGTCCATTCTCAGGAAGTCATCGTAAGATACATTCCATAAAAATGGTCCTACCCTCGAGCCTTGAGGGGCCCCACGCTTCATCTCTTCATTGAGAATGCAGGTGTCTCCCTCGTAAATAACCCACCTGTCGCTTAGATAATTATCCATTATCCGCAACAGGTAGGGCGGTATACCCTTCTGTATCATCGACTCGATGAGATCTTCCCATCTCGCGGAATTAAACGCGTTCCGTATGTCTATTGCTACCAACGCGCAGAAGCTCTTCTTTTTATCTGGTCCCAATTTGTTTTTCCCTTCTCTGGCGAGGTCCACAACTGCCTTTACGGCATCAACTGTGGACCGACCTTTGCGGAATCCAAATTGGTTATCGGATAGACTATTCTCTCCGGTCAAGTGAGATTGCTTTCTCTGCAGAACCATGTCCTCTAGAAGTTTGCCCATCGTATCCAACAGGCATATAGGCCTGTAGGATGAGACCTTATCTAGAGGTTTGTCACCCTTTCTTAGGAGGACCAGCCTTTGCCTCTTCCAGTCTGGAAAGAACTCTCCTCCCTCTAGGCAGCGATTGAAGATGTCCAGCAAAATCTGGGGGGAAGCAACAATCACCTCTTTTAGGATCTTGTTGCTTATCTCATCGATTCCAAGCGCATTGCCCAAGTCTTTAATGAGACAGGCTTCTTCAAGGGACCGGAAGAACTTCTTCTTGTCGATTCTCTTAGTGTTCCACGAGGAGCTTTTTCGACTAGGGGCTTCCTGTCTTCTTCCTCCTCGTGTGTCTCCCACTGAGGCTGAGAACTCGATGTACTGCTGGTCACTTGCGGTATATTCCTCAGAGACCCGCCAGTCGCTTATGCGGCTAATCAAATGAGACGATGCGATCGTCAAATCTATGATTGATCCGATTGTGTCTCTTCTGAAAGTCCACGACTTTCCTTGATTGACAACTATTAAATTGTTCCTGGAGACCATTTCTGCAATCATTATACCTCTTTTATCGAGCCTAGTCTCTCCCCACTCTGGAGACTTTGCATTAAAGTCTCCTGTGACAGAGACATCCAGCCTGGATTCCCTAAGGCTCGATTCTAGGTTCTCAATGTCTGCTTCGAAGTCCGACAGTGGATCGTTCGGAGAGAAATAGCAGCTATACATTCGTATTTCCGCCACCTCAACCCAAACAAATCCACTGTTCGTCTCCAGGAACCTGTCAATCCTTAATGTAGGATTGCACACCTGCACAGCTGCACTGCCAGACCTATCCTGGTACCAATAAGCGAGATCGTTCTTTCTATGCTACTCACTGCAGAACAGAACATCCACTCCCTGTTACCTTGCTGTCTGCATTAGAAGGGACTGTGCGTCCCTACAGGTATGCAAATTGACCTGCAGAAACTTTAAGGGTTTGCCCTTTTAAGCTTCTGCAGCTCTTCCTTGTAAACGGGACACGATGTTTTTCTGGCAACATGATCTGCGTCTACCTTGGCTAAGTCTGAGCATGTTAAGCACTTCGGTTTCTTAACTTCGCACTTTTTAGCTAAGTGACCCTCTCCGCCGCATCTCCGACAGTTTTTAGTTCTGTCGGGGCCTTTGCAGGATCGGGTCACGTGTCCATAAACCATGCACTTTTGGCACCTAGCCACTTCTACATGCTCCCTAATTGGGGCATTAATCCATCCAATGTGGATTTTGCCTAACTTAAGCAAGGTATCACAATCCGCGTCAGGAAGACGGATTAATGCTGCCATTACTCCACCAAAGCGTGGCAAAAGCCGACACTCAATATCCAGGTCGGACTTTCCCAACTTGCCCCTCAAGGCCGAAACCACATCACCCTCGGTGGTGGTTTCATCTAGATCTCTGATCTCGATGGTCTTTTTATTTACCAGGGCCCTAACCTCGGCTTTGTCAGACAGAGCAGAGGTACGTGCCCGGGCGAACTTTGAGGTCTCTCCTCCTTTCTTGACCACAACGAGGACTTCGTTGTTGAGGGTCTTTCTTACTTTTAAAACCTCGGTACCGATTTCTTCCGGTTTAACCGAGGTTTTCATGACTTTCAGGATTTCGGCGTAAGAATCTTTATCTCTCACCGAAATCCTGACTGCCTCCGTGTTCCTGGGCCTTGAAGAGCGCTTCGGGGCCTCTGCTCGTTTTTGGGCCTTCTTTTCCGAGCCCTCTTCTTTTTATTAACGGCAAGAACAAAGCCATCGCCGACTACTTTGACACCTACCTTATCGCCAGCCACCCCAGCACGCGAAACAACACTTTCCTGCACCTGTGAGATAAGGGTTTTGTCAGGAGCATCGCTGCTCTTGACCCTCTTCTCTTTAGGCGTCGACGTCTGCTGCCTTGCATCCGGGCTTCAGCCCTCTCTATGTCGCTTTCTCGCTTCACTAAGAGGATGCTGAAGGTTAGAAGACTTCATTGTCAGCAAAGATGTTTTGACGTTTCCTTTGGGCGGCTCGGAGACCTTAAAGGGTTCGTTTATAAATCGCAGGTTACTGCGAATTATTTCGAACGCCTTCTCCAGAGCCGTCAAACCGTCTTGAACATCCTTGCTGATGTTCTTCTGCCGTTTGCACGCCTGACGCATACTGTCCAATACTTTCGGTATTGTCTTTAACTGCTCAGCAACATTCGACTCGAAGTTGCTGGTTTCACCTTCCCTAAACCTTGATGCTTCACTTACTGCAGAACCCAAGGAGTCCAGTCCTGCAGTCTTGTTGTTGCATGATGCCGACATTTGAGAGCCAACAAGCCCACTCCCAACAGCGCCGTTGTTGAGGGATCCGACCACCTCGACGACCATATTTTCAATTGGTCCCATTATCATAATTTTTTTCCATTTGGTTTATTTGGTCAGGGAACCACCCTGGTTACTGGTTGTCATTTAGTGAAAAGCCCCACCACCACGACAAGGTCTGCCAAGAATTTACATAACCGTCGTAATGATTGAACATTCCACAAAACATGCGTCTTGGTCATCAGACAAACAATTAGAATGTAATTACTTCTCAGAATATAATTATATTATATTATATTATATTATATTATATTATATTATATTATATTATGTTTTTATTCTGTTATTATGTGATTACGTTTTTTTATATATTATGTTTTGTAGATTGTTTAATCATTACGACGGTCATGAAAATGATAATCTGCGTATAGAAAGACCCACCTATTTTTTTACCTTTAACCCATTATATCTCGAAAAATATTCTTTGGGGGAGATGTTTTCATAACAATTATTTGTTCAGGACATTTCAAAGAATATTCTCCCACAGTTTCAGCCAAATTGGCTGAAAGCCATTTTACGTGTATTTTGTGCGTTGTCCTTTTAAAAATCATTGATTGCTTTCTAGCTTATGTTACGTCTCAAATAGAGAAATAACTAACGAAATAATATTTTATTTTATTGAATTACTATTTCATTTACAGAGCAGAAGGTTCTGAGCTAAAGGTACAGGCAAGAAAGAGAATAGTGATTTTTAATGACAAGGTTACAAATTTATTTAGACAAAGATTTAGAGTTATAAAATTGATCTTTGAGAGAGAGTATCTTGAAGGAAAGGGACACTCGTTTATGCCCTTTTAGGGAAATACTGAGTTTCTCGCTTCTAATTGTATATTTTTAAAAATACAATATATGAACGTAGAACTATACAAAACGCAGGGTTCGTTTATATATAAGAGAAAAGAATGTTTAGTCGCAGGGAAACGCAAATTGGCATTGATTAAAAAAAAGGATTTTTATAACATGAATGTAAAAGTTACTGTGGCGTGACACTTATAAAACAGTTTTTCTAACGTATCAAAAATGTAATATTCACGTAATATAGTAGTTTTATAAATTTTCAAGTCAAAGTTAAAATCAAAGTTAATGTTAAAAGTAAAAGTCAATATCAAATCGAAAGTCAAAGTGAAATTAAAAAATCGCACCCCTGATTGACTGTACGAACAAAAAGTTTTTTTTTAAAGCAAATTAATCTTTCTTTATGAAGGAGCAATATTTAAATATTCCGAAATTACCAAATTATAAATCCATATTATAACAATTAGTCTAAAAAATTTTAACTTTTCTAGGTGGTTTATTTCACCCTACAGATGACAAACAAGAAGTAGCTTTTCGATATGCTGTAGAGAAAATAAATGCAAATAGGGATATTTTACCAAAGTCGCGACTAAGTGCGCAAATAGAACAAATTTCTCCACAAGATAGCTTTCACGCTTCTAAACGTGGTAAGTATAATAAAAAAGCTTGTATCATTAGATCCTTATATTTTGCTCTCATAACGCAAGGATAATCAGGGTATCCCTGCGACGTCCTAAGTATATCTTTTGAATTTTAGCGGTTTGGATACTCTAGGGATACCTATGTCTATCCATGGATGTCTCTGCAGGCTTCGCACTCTTCGACTAAAAGCTACTATTTGCTACTTTTTTGATGGTTGGCTACTTTTTGGTTACTTTTTTCAACCTTAGGCTACTAAAAGCTACTTTTCCACTATTTAGACAACTTTTTGTTACTTTTTTGCCAACTAATGAGTTCAAAACCTGTATATGGTTTTAAGTAATTTTAAATAGCACACAAAAATTGGATCTATAAAGTGCTGAATATCTTGCGGTTACTTTAACCCATTTAAATTTATGAAAGCTAAAAAATTGGTATTAAATCAGTTCTTTAAATTTCAAATATGCCTAAATAAATATTAATTAAAAACTTAAAGATTTTCTAGAAATTAGAAGAAAATTAAAAAACTAGATAAAAATAAATATCTAAATAAAAATAAACTAGATAAATAAAAAACTAGAAATTAAGAAAATAGAGTGATTTATCCTCACCACCGAAATATACATAGATAACCGGCTATTTTTCACAGTTTTACATAAATGTTAATGCGCTAGGTTAAAGTAACCGCAAGATATTTAGCACCTTGTAGATCAAATTTTTGTGTTATTTTTGTGTGCTGTTTAAACTTACTTACTTTCACAGACCAATTTTGAAAACATATTTTATCTATTATTTTCATTTTTTTACTTAATTAACAAACCCCCACAAAAAAAATTTTGTCCGGTAAAATAGACTAGTCATTCTTACGTATTTTGGGTCGCTGAATCCGAATCCGGGGTCAGAATTTAAAAGTTGGCTCTTATTTTTGAGATAAACTCAAAAAAACTTCTTAAAAAAGAAAAGAAAATCAAAAAGTTAAAAAATTTTTGTATGACACTGCGATAGTGTAATTCCATGTATTTTTAGCCACTGATTCCGAATCCAAAGTTAGAATTGTTAGATTTGCTGAAATGTTTTGAGATAATTGCAAAAAACTCAATAAACAAAATAATCAAAAAAAATCAATCAGTTTTTTGGCATATCTTCAAAATTTAAGCTAATCTCTCAATTCTGACTTTGAATTCGAATTCAGTGGAAAAAAGTACAATGTACATGGAAATACAAAATCGTAGTGTTACGGCAAAAAATTATCTGTGTCCCTAATTCAGGATTTTTATCAGATTTTTGCGATTATCTGTAAGAACTAACAATAAGACGTAAGAATGACTAGTCTATTTCGCCGGACAAAATTAATTTTTTTCTGAGGCTGTGTAATCAATAAAAGATAATAAATTAATTAATTCTGAACAAGAGTCAGTAATACATTGTACATTTTAAAAGAGTTGTCTATATTTTTAATAATCTTTCTAATTGCTGAAAAAGTGAGTTTTCCATATCTTTTCCATTTTAAACTCATATTTCAAGATAAATAATAAAAATTTTGACTTAATAGTTTTTATTTCGTTTTCTAAATATCATCCAGAATCATTTCGGAAAGTATCTATTTTTTAAAAAATTAGGCCTTAACGACTTTTGATATAAAATATAATGGATTGAGCCAAAAATTTGTAATTACCTCTATATTGCCATTTAAATGTTCGAAAATTCTTTACTTTTATGGGATAATTTTAATTTTAATACCTTAAAAACTAAGTATTATGCAAATTATTATGTAAATTAAGTGTTGAAATTTAATTTTTTAAAATTAAATACAATTTAATATACAAACTACAAATATTTTTAATTTTTTCCGTAGGCTACTTTTTTCTACTTTTTTTACTTTTCAGGCTACTTTTTGCTACTATTTTTTGACTGACTAATGAGTGCAAAGGCTGTTCTGGCATATTCACTCGGAAAAAAGTCATAAGACATCCAAGGGATATCCAGACTATGCATGTGTTTTAACCTTTTAAGGCCTGAGTTTTTTTTATAAGTAATGCAATTTATGACAAAATGTGTCAATTTTTACTGTGGGCACACCTATCTTTAACGAAAAAAAAGTTGGTCCCCGATGCCGAAAAAAAACTCTTGAATATTTCAAATCTTTGTCTCCTAAATAAACAAAATTTCAAAGATTCAAAATCACAACCGATCCTCCTGCATGATTTTTTATGAATTTATTGTTTTTTTATGCATTGTAATGAAAAATTGCTTCATTACGATGTAGAGATCAGTTAAAATTACTAGTACAATTTTTTTATACTTATTAAATGTAAAAATAATAATAATAACAATAATACATTACTATAATTTTTGGAAATAAAAGTTGGATGATTAATATGGTAATTTTAAATCCGTACTGTCAACAAAAATAATAAAAGGGTATTTTCTCTAGAACAGCGCAGATGTAAACATAAGATTATCCTAATTTTCTGTCATTTCTTATTCTTATTAATATTCGCAACATTAGTTACTGCTATTGCAATTTGTATGTGTATCGTGTAAGAAAATAAATGATATCAAGTTGGCTAAAATTACTACAAAATATTGTAGATGTAGTTGATTTATTTTTAATCACGCATGTTGTCATATGATTAAAATAGAAAGTTTGTGCCTTCTGGGGTAGAAAAATTGTTTGCAAAGACAGTAATTTAAAAACTTTTTTCTTCATATAAAGTCAAAAAAAGATCTTCCAAACTTTTATGAATAAAAGTTTTTCTTTAAAAATAATTTAAATTTTTCTACGATATAGTTGACGTTAAGAGGGGAAATTCTTATAAAAAAAAGTTTTTTTACAATTTTTTTTTGCTTTAACTTAACCCCTTGGCTGTCGACAAAATTTCCACTGTTTGACCCGAAAGTGTGTTGAAAAAAATTTTAACGGATATTCATGAAACTTGGTATACTAAGGTTTTTAGGGTTGCTGATTACAAATCTGACATCAATTTTTCAAAATGAAAAATGGCGGATCAAATATGGTGGATTCAATTTCTTAAAAATGTGCGGATTCGATTATTGCCATATTTTCGAGGTCGCTGATTAGGAATCTGAATATGGCGGACATTTTTTTCTAATTTCGTCGGATTTGCTTGAAACAAGTTACTCGGGGGTTTTGATGGTCGTTTATTACGAATCTGATATATAAGGCAAAATTCCTGAAGTGATTTAAGTTTAAAATTGAAGGTTTTCGGATCGTGCTGAAATTTGCACAAACTTTAGTACTATGGGTGAGTACTTCACCGATAAATTATTATTAAGTTTTATGAAAAACTGCAGAGGGTAGAGGGGGTTCAAATTTCATGTCACATGTGAACAGTGGATTTTTTAAAAAATCGTAACTTTTATATAAATGGATAAAAAAATGTTGACCTATATGTTTTGGAAAGGTTTTTTTTTTGCTTTTTCGAATGGTAAGTTAACATTGCAATTCTTTATTAACAATCTACTTATCCGAAATACTTCATATGGGTCTCGTTGGATGCGGAATTACCTTAACTTTCAATTGGTAAGTTTAGATTTACGATAACTTTAATTGTTTGTAAGATATTTCATTTTTCATTGTTATATAAAAAATTGAACCAAAATACTTCATATAGTGCTTTTGGATGCTTGTTGTTAGTAAAAAATGAAATATTTTAAAATCAAATAAAGTTATCGTAAATCTGAACTTATCAATTGAAAGTTAAGGTAATTCCGCATCCAACGAGCCCTATATGAAGTATTTTGGATTGTTTTGCATAAAATTTAATATTAATTTATGGGTACTCACCCATAGTACTAAAGTTTGTGTAAATTTTAGCCTGATCCGAAAAGCTTTAATTTAAAGGAATTTTGCCTGATATATATTCAGTTACAAGTTTTAAGTAAATTTTAATGATTTTTAATTTTCCTGTCCGCCATTTTGAATTTTAAGAATTGAACATGAGATTCGAATTCAGCGAATTTTAAAACCCCCAAGTAACGAATTTCAAATGAAACTGACTTCATATTCGTAATTTGTAACCCTAAAAACAACCACAGTGACGAGTATCAATCGAATTTCAAGATACGTCACTTTTAAGAAGACACAATGGATTTTGTTTTTTGAATTTCGGATTCAGCGTTCAAAATATATTAAATAACGTCAGTGTGATTGTATATCAGTTTTTTTTGTAATTTCGTGTATATATGTATCACACAATAAGAGCCTACTTTAGAAAGTGCATCTATAGACGTACCTCACAGTCAAGGGGTTGAAAGAACAACTTGCTTTTAATACAAAAACTTAATGTAAGCTCTTTTCAAAAAATGTTGTTTCTTGGTACTACTTTTAAAAAACTTATAATGTTGTATTTCAGTATGCTACTTGTTAAGAAATGGTGTTGCTGCAATCTTTGGACCTCAAAGTTCGCACACAGCTAGTCATGTACAAAGTATTTGTGATACAATGGAAATTCCTCATTTGGAAACTCGATGGGACTATCGTCTCAGAAGAGAAAGTTGTTTAGTTAATCTCTATCCTCATGCAACAACCTTATCGAAGGTATGTTAAAACTTTAGATACCCTTTTGTATTTGATAAAAAAGTTAAAATATTTTAATTGTTTTAAAACGTTTTTATATAGGGAAGAGGGCCCCAAGATGGACATAGTTTTGATTTTGTGCTATAGAATCCAATCGTTTTAGGATATTTAAAAATGGTGCATACCGTATGGAAATACAATAAATAAGGTATCCTCTGGCCACAACGAAAAAATTTTAATTTGCAAACAAACATTTTTTAAAGAATTTTTTCAAATTGTTGTAAATTTCGATTTGAAAAAAAGTGTCCCCAAGATCGACACCATCATAAAATGCATTAAAAAACGGGTAAAATAAAATATCAAGTAAGGATTTTTAAACCAATTTTCTGTTTCTTTATTATATTTTTTAAAAGTTCTAACATTTTTTAAATGTTAAACATTACCGTAAAATGGGGTAAAGTCGGCCGGCGCTTTAAATCATTTTAAAGTTTAACTATTACTTTTTTCCAGAAGAAATCCGAGTTTTATTAAAAATGTAGTTAGAATTAATGTAAATTAATAAATGAAATACAATATTTAAGTGTTTATCCCATCTAATTTATAATTTATTTAATAAGAGATTAGCTATTTTTTATAAATAATTAAACGAAATTAACAATAAATCCAGCTCCAGGCTGAATTGTCTGAGTCACAATTCGGACATTCGTACCAGGGTTCGCAGATTTTGGCTATATAAGAAATTTCAAATAACAATCAGAACTGTCGGTAACTATCGACAGATTTCAGTTCTGTATTGATAACAACACAATTTTGAAGTAGAAAAAGAAAAAATTTCGATTATAAGGCTTAGAGCATTATTAAGAAACTGTAACATTGAAAATAAATAAAGTTAAGAAATTAAGGTGTGATGTTCATCTTAGGGCCAGCAGATTGTCCATCTTATAACCAATGACCCAATTTTTTTGGCGCAAATATAAATTTTTTTCAAACACAGAGTGTCAACCGAATCATTTTAGAATAATATTATACGATAAATAAATGAGGTTATTACGACATGCACCTATTCGAAATCAAAAATATAGATAATTTTATCGACTGGAATAAAAACTGTTACAAAACTTTTTAAAACGAAAAATCCACGTGATATGTGTTACAGGAAGAAAAATAATTCTTTCTGATCCGTGTTTATATAAAAAGCTTCATCTTAACAAACTAAATCAGTAAAAAAATCACGAGGCGACATATACTTATACGAAAATTTTATATCAAATGTCCATCTTAGGGCCCTCTCCCCTAATTTGTGTAAATAATTCCTTCCTTTTAATGTAAAAAGTTCATAGTTTTAAATATTTTTTCATTATATATTTTGATTAATTTTACGTTTAAATTTGTTCAACATATTATTTGCACGTTGCATAGTTATTTTAATTTAAATCACGTTTAATGAATAATTAAAACTATATTAACTGATGAGTTGCTACTAAATATCACAAAAAATTTTAATTTCTGTAATAATAGTTATGTAAAGGGACCGTCCCATGTAGGCATAAAACGTCAGCGAAAAACGTAAATAATGTGAGCGAAAGAGAGAATGTTATATGTTTATCTCTTTTACTTACAGGTTTTTCGTTTTCAGCTGACACCTTAATGCCAACATGGGTCAAGCCCTTAAGATTATTTCGCGCGGTTTACTGGAGGATTAAAAAAGACCATTTATCCAATAGAAGACTCAATTACAAGATTTCCGGTAAAATAGATCAACGTTTAAAAGGTCAGTGTATTTTTTCAGATCGGAGAAATTAGTGCTAAGTGCTGTGCCGTGTAGTGAATAGAGAAAGACACTATATTTAATTTATAAAAATTTAATAATTCTTGTGTACGAAGACGACTAAAATCAATATAAATAATAAATAAAAATTATTATTCTGTGAAAAGGAAAATAATTTTTTATTATGAAAATTAGCTTAAGGTGTTAGTAACACATCTCAGTGACTTCCCTTAAATATTTTTTTTATTACAAAATTTATTTTATTTACTCCAAACTTTTTATACCTAAAAAAAGGGGTTTTAAACTATTAAAAAAAATTTTTTTATTCCTTATTTATTATGGATTATAATGCTGCCATGGCCGCCTGAAAATACCCCTACTTGTGATTGGCGGACACGATATCTCCAATTCAGGTCACCGAAAAATAAAATTTTTGATATTTTCTTGAAAAGTAAGCTCGTCGCTATCGTCGGAACTACAATAAACTATTTTCGATGAAAAATAACAAAATGGAGGACTTTTTTCATTTTTGACCTTGTTTTTTCAACTTAAATTGTTTAAAAAAAGGGGTTTAATATTAATTAAAGATTTATGATTCTATTTCCGACGATAGCGATATATATGCAGAATAGTCCATACACATTTGAGTTTAATCGGTGCAATAGTTTCTTTATGATGTCCCCCAGGTTTATGGTTATATAGAATACGCACCAAAAAGAATGTTTTCTGCCATACTAAAGTTTTTTGTTATCAATTTAACATTTATTATTGAATTTGATCAAATAGTTTTTGAATTACAATAATTTTAATTTTTGACTTTAAAAAAAATTTTTTTCTTTGTACAATATTTATAAGTAGAATGCATAAAAGTTAACATATATATAATGATTTTCAAAGCTTTCTTGAGGGGTTACACGATGGTGATAAATTTTTTTTTTTAAATAAAATTTGACCTTGAAATTCAAGGTCAAAATGTTAATTTACGTACACTACCGTCGGAAATTGTCGGTACGATTGACGTGCGCGGGATGAAATGTTGATGTCGCACCTAAATTAAGATATTTTAAGTTTGAGAAAAGCTAGAGACTTGAAACTTAGATCACCTGAAAGCTGATAAAATTCTGCTTCTGAATATATACCTAGAATTTTTTTTCGACTTTCTGGAGCGATTATAACACTGGAAATATTTCGAAAAAAAACGTCTAATTTTCCCAATTTCGTACCCAGTTTTTGATTCCCTGCATAATCTAGGAAAATGCAAGGAAAAATTTGTAACTCCTACAACATAATCTTTAAGATCTTAGCTTTAAAAGTAATTTTTAAGACTTAAAAAATATTGTTTCGTTTTTGAGATAAGTTGAAAAATGTCAGAGCATGCTTTTTACACAACTCAGCGTCAAAGATGAGTTCTTGCATCCCCGCTGCTTAGCCCGTTCCTTGCGCCAGGGCCGAATATGCGTGCGGGCCCCTGCTTGAAACCCGTCTCGTATTTTCTCACATTTACAGTTATTGATTATTAGTATATTAATTAATTTATTTAAAATATGTTATTATTATTAGTTAATTAAAAGTTTAACAAATACTTTTTAATATTGTACTTAAAATTTACCAAATTGGAAAAATGTTCTTCTTTTTCAGAACTTTAAAATTTTTTGTTTAAAATTTATTGTAATTAATTTTGAAAAATTTAATTTGTAGTACTAATTATTTTAGTAAAAATGCAGAAAGTGCATTTTCAGAAAAAAAGAACTTTCTTATGTACACTAAATTATATATAGTATAACATAATATAATATAATAAATAATAATAATAATAATATAAATATTAATAATAATATAAATATTAATAATAATAAAATATTTATAACATTTATAATAATCAATAACTGTAAATGTGAGAAAATACGAGACGGGTTTCAAGCAGGGGCCCGCACGCATATTCGGCCCTGGCGCAAGGAACGGGCTAAGCAGCGGGGATGCAAGAACTCATCTTTGACGCTGAGTTGTGTAAAAAGCATGCTCTGACATTTTTCAACTTATCTCAAAAACGAAACAATATTTTTTAAGTCTTAAAAATTACTTTTAAAGCTAAGATCTTAAAGATTATGTTGTAGGAGTTACAAATTTTTCCTTGCATTTTCCTAGATTATGCAGGGAATCAAAAACTGGGTACGAAATTGGGAAAATTAGACGTTTTTTTTCGAAATATTTCCAGTGTTATAATCGCTCCAGAAAGTCGAAAAAAAATTCTAGGTATATATTCAGAAGCAGAATTTTATCAGCTTTCAGGTGATCTAAGTTTCAAGTCTCTAGCTTTTCTCAAACTTAAAATATCTTAATTTAGGTGCGACATCAACATTTCATCCCGCGCACGTCAATCGTACCGACAATTTCCGACGGTAGTGTATATCTCAAAATCGGATTTTAAAAAATTTTTTTAACTATCTCAAAGTAAAGCTTGACTAATTTCCTAGAAAACATGTAATTTTCAAAGTGGGATCTTTTAAAGTATTTGAGGTAGAGACAATTGATCGCACGAGCGCCGTCACGCAGTGCCAATTGGTATATGTAATACACATGAGCAATTCGATGTGAAATTGAGGGGTCAATCCTTCGAATTCTTCAATAATAAGATTTTGAGTAGAGGTTAGGGGTCTAATTGAGTAAAAAAATTTTTAAAAAAATATTTATTATTGTTCGAGATATTTGCATTAAAAAATTAGTCCAACTTTTTTTTCAATTACTTATATAAACTTTTTCACTTTTAGTACTAGAAAAAAATTTCTTAAACGCTTTTTGCGCAAAAAATATTGAAGTTTAAGAAAAAGAAATTAATTTTGAAACATAAAAATTTTTTAGTTCATTTATTTAAAAAATAAAGTTTTTTTTCAATTTTTAAACTTGTTATCGAGTTCCGTTTAAGCTGAAAAATTCATGAACATTCCTTAATATAAGCAAGAGACATATGCCAAATTTGGCGAATATTCATTTATTAATACTTTAATTTGTTAAAAATGCTATTTGCATTGGTCTTGTTTGACACATAATTAAATGATCTTTCAAATAGAAAAAAGAATTAACTGTATATTTTCATTCCTTCAGATGTTATTAATTATTTAAATAATAATTATTATTAATTATTAATTTAAAGTCCGTTCATCCGAAATTGTTTATATAAGGCTCGTTTGATACGGTACGGTTACAGTACAGAAATGTGTTTTTCGGTTGCCAGCATTTTTGCAAATTTTTAGTG